ATTACGGTTTAAATTCAAATTTTTGGATTAATTAAATCATTTACTTCCCTCCTTTTCTGAATTAAATCAAACCCGACCCGTCATCCTTCCAAATCGGGTCTGGGGGGCAAGTTGGTTGGGTCCAATTTAGTCCAATTGGGCCTAGGCATTAAATGATCCAATTAAAAGCCCAAGGTCAAGGTTCAACTCTCCAATTGTGCTAAAGTCAAAGGTCAGCCCTCAAAGCAAGCCAATTGGGCTAAGGCCCAACTTCTCCATGTATGAAGAGGTATAAAAGCCATCAATATTCATATATACACATTCATTCACATATTCTCATAGATTCCCATACATTCTCATATATTCTCATATATTCAAGCAAAGCCTCAAGCAACAAATTCTCTTGCATAGTGTTCTCTTTCTACACATTGTACTGACTTTAGCATCGGAGGGGCCTTCCTCGGAAACACCCCCGAGGCTAGTTTACGTGTGTTTACTGTGCAGGAAACCTTCGGCCCAACATAACTTGGACCGAATCTAGTCTTCTCCGTTTCAGCGGACCTTCGGCAAGGTCCCATTGTTTTCACCCGAAACACTGCCTATTAAAATTAAAGATATTTAAGCACATTTGGTAGAAAGACGTGAACTAATTATTCCTAAATTATACTGATTTAAAGGTGAAAAAAAATACATATAAACGGTTTGATAAAAAATTTTGGCATATTTTTTTTTATATTATTATTATTGGCTCATCCTAATTAAAAAACGTGGATTTAGGAAAATCCCTCTTAGAATGAGGTCTTGGTGTGCTTTTGTTATAATTTTTACTCATTTCGGAAAATATAAGTTCAATAAAGGTTAATTTATGTGCAAATAAGAGATTTAAAACCAAGTAGTACAATATATAACTAAAATTAGTTCTAATAATAAAGTCTAATAAATTCAAATATATTTAGATAAGTCAGTTTAGAAAAAAGTTGAGATAAACTCAACTTTGTAAAAAAACATAAATGAATAGAAAGCGCCATTGAACTAAATGAAATTTGACCCTTAGGTCATACATCTGAAAGGCACAGAGCTAGCTGTTTTATCCTCTGATCTTCTATTATGCTCATAACTTCATAAGCTTAGATTGAGCTGGATATATTGATTGTTATAGCTTAGTAGCTTACAATTGAAATACTTGATACTTCATTAGTGTGGTTATAACTACAAGAACAAATATTGTCACTTAAACAGTATACAATCACTTCAATTGGTTCAATAGTAGTAGATAAGGCCAAAAGTGGTTAATTATAAATGTTACTATCAGAGAAAGTTGGTATACATGCATAGCTTAATCAATGAAAGGCTGGCTAAAATGACTAATAACTTCCATTTAATAAGAATTATTGAATATGTTATAGTCATTAATTAGTACCTATTGTTGTCTAGTCTAATCTGTATAACCCTTTTATGAGCCACAACTCCTTTTAAATGTTAGTTCACTTCACTTCCTGCTTATATGTTAAAAGTTATACAGCATTACAGTTGAAAAAGATATTGTTCTAACTTGCTTAATGGCGGCCATTAATGGTATTTTATTTGATTTCTTAGGTATTTAATTCTCACTAATTCATGTACTCTCCGGAATTGTTTTAATTAGTTGATACGTTAATGTCACATTTCCTCATTAAGATAACTAACATAATTGTGTACATATAAATTTAAAGAATTATAAACAAGTAAGCATTATCCAAAAAATATATGTGACATTAGAAGGCACACCAATCACATTGATTGGATAGTGGTTACTAGATATAAATAGCTGATTTAAAATCATACATGCCCCTTATAGGCCCATATTCACTCATCACTCGTGCTCCAAATTCATTTAATTAATACTTCTAAAGTTTGAGTATAGGTGCATGGGATACGTATAGATTAAAATATATCTGTAATTTGAATACATTGCCGCCATGAGTGGTGTTTAGGTGGTGCGTATAAGTACTTCAATTGGATATAGTATGAAAGAGGGACTATCCTAAGATTCCTAACCTATCACATCCGCCAAGTATATCTTAGTCTAGTGGTAAGGTTTGCATCTCATAATCATGAGGTTTTGTGATCAAACCCCATTAGAAACACTTTGGTGTGGGACTTTCCTCATTCTTCCCCCCCCCCCCTCCAAAGTGCCTAGTTTGCTACCCGAGAGGTTCCGGCCTAGTAGGACCTTTTTCCTTACCACCAAAAAAAAAAAAAAAATTGCAATATTGCATCCATTAGTCATCTGATTATACCAACAAGGCAACAACTAGTATGTTATTATCCCTATTTCTCCGAAGAAAAAATATACAAAACTAGTATGTGACTCGACTTGGCTCATAACACTTGCATCCAAAAGCATGCACTGAGAGTCAGAGCTAGGGTGGTTCACTATTACGGTCTACGGAGTATAATTCATGGGTTCTCATTCTCTCGTTGATTTTTAACTCTATCGTCCTACGGAGTACATTTTTTTTTTTTTTTTTTTTTTTTTTTTGTCTTCATCATCATTTGTAATTTTAGTATAGATATACGTACAATAATGTCGAAGTTTTGTGGAAAAGGAAGAATAATTTGCATATATAGTAGTTATTCTATTAGAACTTTATTACTTTGTTTCAAAAAAAAAAAAAAAAAAAAAACTTCCACATGAACTGATGAACTGAGCTGAAATAAATATTTTATGAGAGAGGGAAATTAAGAACTAAACTGATTGGAGCTGAACTGAAATTAAGTAAATTTGAACAGACCCTAAGTTAAAATAATTATATGACTCCAACTATAAAATTTCAAAACAAATCTTGCTTATGGACTTTCACATATACATACATAGAAACCTCTAATTCAAATTAGTTAATTTCCCAAGATTAAAATCTTGTTGTCCCACTATCTTTTTTATCATTATTATTAGACATTGCATTGTTCACTTCACCTAACAAAAATAATACATAGTATTAAGTAAAAGTAATTTTAATTTAGTGAAATTAACTTCAGTTTAGTAAAAAAAAAAAAAATTAAGTTCAGCAAAAATAATTTCAATTCTGTAAAAATAATTTACAAGATTTACAGCCTAGTAGTTTTGTAAGAGAATCAAAGTGCAAGCTTTACAAAATTTACAACCTATTCAAATTGTATATATTGGTGATAATTGTAATTTTGTAAGAGAATCAAGTGCATGCAATCTCAATGGCAAAGCGAACTTCATAGTTGGAATATTGCGCACGATGGGTTTTTTTTTGTTTTTTTTAGTAAAATGCGCTACCATCGATCTATCGGTCATCTATCTCCACTGAATAACAAGGGATTATTGGTCATGACATGCTATATTATGGGGCATATTATTTACAATTTTGAGAGAAGCTTGACTGCTCTAGTTAATTTTTTATTTACCTTACCTTCTTCAAATAGATTTAAATATCTTACGAATAAAGAAATGACAAGTATGTTTTTTTTTTGTAACTCGTAAGAAAAGTCTCAGTAACACATACTTGTGCAATTATTAAGGTAATGAAATACCAATATTATAATTTACTATGTCAATAGATAGTAAAGAGAACATAGGCAGTAGATGAGCTATGTGAAGGTACACACGAACAATATGAACATGTAATTGGCCCAACACTAGACTATATTAGACTTTTCTTTCAATTATTCATATAAATTTATGGAATTTTTGTCAAAAACTACCTAATAAAGCTTAGATTTTGTGAGAAACTATGTAATAAAAAAAATGTTGTAAAAAACTACCTAATAAAAGGTAAAATGTTGTAAGAAACTACCTAACAAAATGTTTATTGTTATAAAATACTACCTACGCCGGAAATCCACCATTAACCCACCTCAAAACACCCCCAAAACCACCGCTTTCACCCCAAAACCAACACAACCTACTTGGAATTATTGCCTTCAACAAGCCGAAACCACCCTCCAATCTCAAACCCACCACCTCTAACCCCAAAAATAAACATCTCGAACTACGAAATTAAACTACCCTCACCAACTCGGAATATCTTCTAACCACCCCAAAAATAACCTTACCACCTTGAAAAGCAACCTCTGTGGTGGTTTCGGGGGTGTTTTGAGGTAGCAACGCTTTAAAATTAGATTAACGGTGGAAATTCGGCCAAGAGTAGTACATTACAACATTTTACCTTTTATAAGATAGTGTATTATAATATTTTTTTTATAAGGTAGTTTCTCACTAAAAATTATCATTATTACAAATACCATTTATTATTTTACGAAGGAGCCGCAAAAAGACTTTGCAATCAACATGAAAAGTGGAGAACTTAATAAATTTACGGATTTTTCACCAAATACCACTGAGTTTAAACTTAATTCACCGTATACCACCAAAAACTTTGTAATACACCTTGTACCACTCAGTTACTATACATTAACACGAAATGCCTTTTTCCTTAACTGTCGTTAGCCTGCCGTTTGAGGGAATTTACCAATTTGCCCTTATACATAAAACTGGCGCCATCAATAAGGTTGACTCCCCCAAACATCACACTTGTAATTCGAAAAAATTGACCCCCCATTTTCCCTTTCCATTGAAGCTTCTCTCTGTTCTTCACCATTGAAGTTGATCCTCAAAAATCAATCCAAAAGCTGTAAACTTTCTTCGATCTAAAGTAGACGTTGCTAGTAGGACGATAATTAGGGCTTTTCGATTGAACACGGAACCTGTTTGGAGCGGTTTGAGAGAGGAAGTTGTTCGTGACTGAATTTCGCTCGAAATTCTCACCTGGGTTGGGTTAAGCTTTCTAAAGGTAATATTCTTCTCATTGATTTGATTTTCGAGCTCTGATTTTGTTGTTTTTTGCGAAATTGAGTTAGGGTTAGGGTTTATTCGAAAATGATTATGTTAGTTTGGATGTTATGCTATTAACTTCGAATGATTAGTTTGGAAGTTGTTAACTGGTGATTAGATTAAGTTTGATGTTAACTGGTGATGTGATGTTAATTGTTGTTGCTTATTATTCATTGTTAGGATGAGTGCATTGTGGCTATTAGTTCGTTCGCCAGGTGGTAGTTTTGATGTTAGGGTGGATGACACTGATAAGACCAATTTGATGGAGTTGTTTGAGTATATGTTTGAGGATTCAGTAAAGCAGAATGTTTTCCTCCCTAAGTACTTCACTTTGTTTGTGAGTAAACCTAGAACTAATCGTAAGCTAGAGTTAGTTGATGATGGGGCAATGTTGAAAATGTGGGAGTGGAATGAAGGGAAGGATGAAATAGAAGTGTTAATAGAAGAGACAGAAAACCCATCTGTTGTCTTCAAGTCTGCAGAAGCTAGTTGGGCAAGAACTTTGAAGATGAGGGCTGACAAAATTAGGCAGAAGGAGGAAGAGAGAAGGAGAAATGCAGAGGCTGAAGAAGTAGAGGAGGAGCTTAATGCTCAAGAACCATTTACTGTTGCTGTAGAGGTCCCTGTTGTGAATGCAGAAGAAGATAAGACTGAATATGTTAGGATATTCCACACTGCAGCAGCTGATGAGTCATTTCCAGGAGATTCTCAACCTCAACCTTCACAAAATGAACCATCTCAACCCTCAAATGAAAAAAGTAAGACACCATCACCACCCAAAAAATCTCCTAGAAGGAAAAAAAGTAACTCCAAGGAAGAAAAAAAAAACCCAACCTAAGCTGTCAACTCAACCAAGTCAGCCTACATCTCCACCACCAAGTCAGCACCCTTCTCCACCAGCAACACCAACACACCATGCTTCCCCAAATAATCCACACATGCATGAATCACCAACCCAAGCCAGGCAGCCTACACCACCCCCACCACCACCACCCCCACCACCCCAACCTACTGCTGCTTCTAGTTCTGTTTCCAAGCCTAAAGTGCAATCTAGAGTTAAAACCAAAAGAGTGGAGGGTGCCAAGAAGCACAACAAAAAAGTATGGTGTTGAGGTTGTGAAGAATAAAAGAGGAGGGAGGGAAGTGAATACAAGGAGCAAAAAACCTGTGCAAGTTGAGGACAGTGATGGTGAATCTGATCCATGGCCTTCTGAGGATAGTGAAGATGATGACTATGAATTTTCAGAAGCTGAGGATGATTTGGATATGGAATTGAACCTTGATGATGAGTATATTGTGGAAGAAGAAGACCTAGCTGATAATATACAAGAGAAGACTTTTGAAGACTACCTAGATGGGACTCATGTTTTAGACAAGCTGTACAAAAATGGCAAGGTCTGGTCTAACTTACCATTTGGGTCAATTCAACTTGAACCTTGGTTAATATTTGAAACCAAGGAACAATTTCATGATGTCTTCAGAGATTTTTGCATACAAGAAGGCTTTGCTGTGACAGTAGACTATGCTGACAATCATAGATATACTGCAAGGTGTCTGATCAATGATTGCAGTTGGAGGATTCATGCAGCAGTCCTTGTTGATAAAGTCAGCTGGGCAATAAAGATACTGGAAGGGGAACATAAAACTTGTGGGAGGATGGAAGAGAATCCTATGGTGTCTTCAGCATGGCTTTGTAGACATTTGAGGCCAGATCTGAAAGCAAACCCAGATATCCCTGTAAATGCACTGCAAAGGATGTGCCTGGAGAGGTTTAGGATCCAAGTAAAGTCCAGGCTGTTTTACAAAGTGAAGTGTTTGGCCATGGAACAAATTCATGGTGGTTTTGCCCAGTCCTATGCTCTGTTACCAAAATATGCTGAGATGATAAAGGCCACCAATCCTGGCTCATATGCTCTCATTACTTGGACTGACAGTGGGGGCAATGGTGAAAAGTTCAAGGCATGTTTCATCTCTTTTGCAGCTCCGGTGAAAGGGTTCTTGGGTGGCTGCAAACCCATTATAGAGATTGATGGTGCCCACCTCAGTGGCTATTACAAAGGAGTCATGCTCACTGCAGTGTCCATTGATGGCAATAATGAGATTTTTGTGATAGCTTATGGTCTGGTTGATACAGAGAGTATAGACAGTTGGACTTACTTTTTCAGAAACCTAAGGATCTTATTTGCACAATATGGATCTGAAAGGGATGACTGGACTTTTATAAGTGACAGGATGAGGGTTAGTTTCTTGCTTTTTAAAATAATTAAACTTTGTCTTTCTTTTGTTAATTTTCAGTAACTAACTTTGTGTTTGTATGTTGAAGGGTGTTGAATCAGCCCTTTTTGAGGTATTCCCAAGAGAAACTAGGAGGGTCTGCTGTCAGCATGTGTACTCTAACTGCAAAAAAGCTGGGTGGAGTGGGACAGAGTTTCATAAACTCTTTTGGATTGCAACCAATGCATACAATGCATATGTGTATGACAAGGCAATGTCAAAGATCAAGAAATATGATGCAGCGGCATTTGATTACCTTACAGCTACTGAAGAGCAATGGAGTAGGTACATGTTTGACAAAACAGTTTGTTGTGATCATAACACAACAAACTTTGTCGAGTCATTCAACTCATGTACAAAGGACAACAGAGATTTGCCTGTCCTGACTTTAATGGAAGGTAACATTTGACCCCTTAATTTCTTTGTGATTAAACAGTAAGCACCATGTTCTGATGGTTTGTGATTTCTTTGTGTTGATTATTTTTTTTTTTTCTTTTTTTTTTTTTGGACTTAAACCAGCTGTAAGGAATTGGTGCATGAAAAGGATGGGTTCTAGGTTTGACAAAGCAATTGATATGGATCCTAATGAGCTAACAGAGTTTGCTAAGGGAGTTTTGGAGACAAGAAGTGAGGAGTCCAGATTGTGTCATGTGACAGCAGCTGATGGTGGAGAGTTTAAGGTCAGGGATGGGCATGTGAAGTTCCCTGTCACACTTCAGACAATGACCTGTGGTTGTGGGAAGTGGCAAGGTCAGGAATACCATGCAGACATGGTCTAAGGGTCATATACAGCCAAAGACTTCAAGCTGCAGATTATGTGTCACCATACTTCAAGGGAGCTGCTTACAAGCTAACTTATGGAGACCACATCCATCCTATGTCAGATCCAAGTCACTGGCCAGCATTTGATGTGCCTGAAATAGCACCACCAACTGTCAAAAGAGCTGTAGGCAGACCAGCTAAGCAGAGAAGGAGAGCATCTCATGAAGCAAGAAAAGGAAAGAGGCACAAGAACAACAAGTGCAGTCTTTGCAAGGAGTTGAGACACAATGCAAAAACCTGTAAGGCAAGAAAGGAAGCAACAAAACAAGCAGAAAATGCAGCATCCAGTTCACATCAAGGCAAAGGAAGAGGGAGGAAGAGAAAGGCTGACAGTTAGAATCCTTGAAGCTGCCATACATTATGTATAATTTTTTGGGGAAAACAATTCAAACTGGTGTCAGGTTTTTTTGGACAAAATGTTAACCACTTAGTTGTTTTGCAACAAACTTGTTTATTACAACCATTGCAAAATCATGTAGCCCTAAATTTTTGAAGACAAACAACTACCAATTTATATAAACAAAGTTTGTTTACATTTTTACTCTAGCTTTTAGAAGTGTGACTTGATTAGTATCTCCCTCAAACACTACATTTATATAAACAAAGTAGCCGTTACAAGTGTGCAAGGGTTATTTTTTAAAAAAATATTACCGTTACAAAAAAGTGGGTAAGTAGTGAAATAACTTTTAAATAATGGTATATGGTGAAATAATTTTTAACAGTAGTGGTATATGGTGAATTGGTAAATTCCTCAAACGGCAGACTAACAGCAGTTAAGGAAAAAGGCATTTTGTGTTAATGTACAGTAACTGAGTGGTACAAGATGTATTACAAAGTTTTTGGTGGTATACGGTGAATTAAGTTTAAACTCAGTGGTATTTGATGAAAAATTCGATAAATTTAGCATTTCAACGTACATCTTAGTTTGATTGGTACGAGTAATTTAAAATTTCCATGCATTCACGTGTGTTCAAGTAGCAGTAGTAATGTTGTCTTGTTTTCATCCTCTAAATTCTTTGGTGAAAAAAATATACAGCAAGCTTTGGTCAGTTTGGTGGGGGTAAAGGATGAACATACATAAACTATTTAAGTGGTAGTGTGGTACCCAATTATATGCTAATATTGACCCCTCAAAATAATGTTTTGAATTTGATATTCAAGTACTACTCTTGACAAACTGCATGGGCTAAATTCGTTGCATGTAGACCTTAGCTTGGAATGTTATTCAATAGACAATGATACTTGAAGTTACATTATATGTCCTTTCACATAAATAAGTATACAATCGATAAACATAGAGACATCACATATATATATATATTTCCACGTACTACATTTGATACATAGCACGAACATAACTGGAATAATAACATGTGGTACCTAAACATCTCTCTTATAGGAGAGTATCCAACCTTTGAGAATGTGAAAATAATCACTATTTTTGCGATTTACATATGCATTCTGATTAATTAATAAATCCCAGCCGAACACTCAGGGGGAGGAACAGGGAAACGCGATTTGTCATGGCAATAGTCGTAAACCATGTGGTTTTGGCGAACCCAACGATACAATCGTGCTTGCATAGGGGTTAGCTCTTGATAAGCTGCACCTTCCCACCAGTTACGAAGATTTGAGGCACAAGTCATTGGTCCTGGCATAGGACAACCATCAATTTCAAAGTCCCTATAATAAGCATAAAACGGGGCTTTGCTCCAATCAATTTTTTCCAGTCCACCTCGTGTCGCCCAATCATCGGCTTCCCATAGAGTGGAAAACACTCCCATTGGTTGTGACTTAGGATATGGGATTCCCTTTGCTTCATTATTCTTGTACACTCTTATTGGAACTTCATCCACATAGAATCTACACATTCAACAATGTACAAATTATTAAAACAATGATAATACACCACATTATAAATGAATATAACTATGAAAACAAGCAAATTTTTCAAAAGACTGGGGTCAGCTGCATGAACCAAGAATGTCACACACATTATTAACAGTGGATAAACGGCGTATTCCAATGACTTACACAGTGTGTTTGTGGTTCCAAAGAATGGTATATGTATGATAAGCCGCGGAAGGATCGAACCAAAGGTTTACTCTTTGCTCCCTGTCTCCCTTTCCATGAGCAAAAACATTTGTTTGGACCGTATAAGGTTGGCCCGTCCTGTTTCCCAAGAACTCGAAATCCAATTCATCACGTATAGTGTCTGTGTCTGAGTTCATCTGCATGAAATAATCACCATTTTATTTCCTTAATTAGCAACTTAATAAGGTTCTATTTTTTTTGTCTCAACATGAGTTGTAATACAAGTATACACACTTGTATATAGCTATATTCTATATATATCACATCACATCCTAATAGTAAATATGTTTAGGAATAAACTAATTAAGATAAGCCTTTTAATAAACATTTTAATTTCTTTCTTTCTTCATTAAACTTATCTTTGATTATAAACTCACATAAAATGCAGTAACAGTTCCAGCTGAATCTCCTGGAACAAGCTTGATTTTCATGCTCACACGTCCATATAGATACTTATACTTCGAGGCGAATCCACATCCTACATCATGCTCAAATTAATGTAAATTAACATTAACATGTACGTTTTCAAACAAAACCAGAAGATATAGTATAGTGTATTAAAGTTTTAATTACAATAAAATTACATACATGAATATTAATAAGAAATTTAGAATTAAAATGTGTATTAATTGTACTAATCATTACAAACCTGAGGATTGGTCAAGCTTAAGTTGAATTGCTCTTCCTCTTTCAACAGGCCTAACATGAGTATCAGCCCAAGTGACCTTAAAATCTTGCTGAAATGTTGCTGGTTTAGCTGAGACCGAAAGAGATAGTAACAAAAGTACATAAACGTAAACAAAAACAAGCATATTTCTTAGGAAGTTCATGGTAGTCATTGTTGTACAATAAAAATAATACTTTGTACTTCGTATAATATATAGTTTTCACTATGACATAACAAGCATATGTAGTATATATAATCTTATGTTGTGTAAGAAAGGAGAGAAATAGAGTGTTGGATGATTAAGAAAAGGGGAATGTAGTGCTTTATATATACATGTACATTTGTATAACACGTTAAAAAATACTTGAATTATAGTGATTTGACCGACCGGGCCGATTTAATTAAAGGGCCTTCATTTTCCATCCAGCTAATTGCAACCCATTATGAGGACCCGTATGTTTCCTCAGCTCTAGCTACTCGTAGTATGTATTGAGTAGTGTTAGCTACTTGATTGATATTTTCCTATTTTTTGTAATTATTATTTTCTAATAATAGTCATGAAATTAGTATGTTACTTTTCATATTCACCTCTTATTTTATCTTTATCTCCTACCATATCATTATTCATTTCATTATTTCAATTTTGTTTTCTTATACTAGTATATATTGTTATTTGTGAGGGAGAAATAGCTCAGGTGGTTAAAGTCTCCCTCCCGATTTTAGATATCGATTCTTATCACTTGCCTTTATAGCTCTCTAAACACCAAAAAAAATAACGTTATATTATGGTTGCTACTATCTAAACTCATGTACAAGTGTAGTGTAACCTAAGATAGTAAATTATATATATTGTTTCATAAACCAATATGGATAGAATGAAAGATAAAACATGACACATTATTAGTTATTACAATGTATTATTACAACAAATCTAATTTAACAATGTGCAATTAGAACTGTAATCCATATATTACTGAATATTTTTAATGGAACATTTTAATTTGATATTGTGAGGAGAAAAAATTGACACGTGAGATAGCAATGAGTCTAGGTAACATGATGGAATGTATTGTACTCCGTACTACAGATTGTGGAATAAGTGTGGTGTTCTTTCAAATGAAGGCATACGCTTTATAAACGAGAATGACATTCAAGCAAAAGTTATACGGAGTACTTATCTTTAGTTTAATTTACAGTGAGATAAAGGAGACCTTCCAAATTGTTTTAGAACATGAGAGAAACTGGTTATTACGGAGGGTTTTTTTTTTTTTTTTTTTTTTTTTTAGAAAAGTTACTCCGTATTACGGATTACTTAATACAGAGTAGTAATAAACTAACCTTTCAAAAAAAAAAAAACTCCTTAGTACTCCGTATTAAAAATTCAACCTGCAAATTGTAATACAATTAGGTGTACTTTGCTTGGATTATATATAATGGATATAGAAAATTACATAAAATTATTGGTCTACAGCTATATTTGACTTTTTTTTTTTTTGTAACAATGACTTAGATTTAATTTGTTCACTTTTATGACTTTTGTAAGTTGTAACTCAAGAACCATCTCATTATTTAAATAAAGAAAGAAAAAAAAATGTTTTTTTTATGTAGAATAGTGTAATTCTCCTTAGTGGAGGCTTTCTCGTTAATTGAATATATATAGGATTTACAACCTAAGTATGAGATAACCTAAATTACACAAGATATATTTTACAGAATATTCACAAGATAATATAAACCTATTATCTAACACACCCCCGCAATCGAAGCGGGAGGAGGGCGAATGCTGAGACTGTCTCTGAAATCTATGAATAGTTGGCGAGGTAACCCTTTTGTGAAAATATCCGCATACTGGTATGAAGACGGAACATGCAAGACTTTGTTCTCACCAAGAGCGACTTTATCGCGTACAAAATGAATGTCCATCTCAATGTGTTTGTGATGCGGTTCCAAGGCATCAATATTGTTATTATAATTATTTTTATTGTTATTTTTAGTTTATTATTAGATGACCGAATTTATTAGGATATTTTTGTTAGTTTAATTCGGTTAGTATAAGATAAGCTTAACTTTAAAGATCATATTTGCAAAATATTATCTTTACAAGTTAGAGTTAGTTTCCTAGTTAGATTAGAATTTGTTTTACCGATTTTTAGGCTAATTATTTAGCTTATAAATACGTGATGGTGTTTAACGAAAAGTATGATTGATTGATTTGAAATTTATAAAGTTTTACGTAAGTTTGTGCTTGTGTATTCTTGGCCTAGTTTAGGTTTTAAGCTCGTGTTGCTTAGCGTTTCTTGACCGATACTCAAGATTCCAAACCTTTCAACTGCGATTGAAGGTTATATCCATCAAAATTCATATCAAATTGGTATCAATCAATCATACTTTTCGTTAAACGCCATCACGTATTTATAAGCTAAATAATTAGCCTAAAAATCGGTAAAACAAATTCTAATCTAACTAGGAAACTAACTCTAACTTGTAAAGATAATATTTTGCAAATATGATCTTTAAAGTTAAGCTTATCTTATACTAACCGAATTAAACTAACAAAAATATCCTAATAAATTCGGTCATCTAATAATAAACTAAAAATAACAATAAAAATAATTATAATAACAATATTGATGCCTTGGAACCGCATCATACTCCCCCTCTTGAAAAAAACTTGTCCCAAGTTTTAGCAAATCATGGAACCAAGATATCATCCAAATTAATCGAACATGAGCTAAAAGAATATGTCTCCATCCAACCACGTCATGCTTATATTTTACACCAATGAATGCACCACAAACTTCAATTGAATGCTCCAAAATTTTAATTGATGACACACTTTTGTCAATGCAATCAATATAATGGAAATAATACGTGAAAATATTTGTATCCCAATTATCACCATAAAAGGAAGTTGTAGAAATTTGACTTTTTGCTACCAACTTAGATAGTTCAAATGTAACCTCCTCGTCAACAAAACTAGACAAAAATACACTTTTGTGCTCCATAATTTCTTTTTCTTCTACTAGTTGTTCATGAGATTGCTCTAAAATTGGATTTGTAAGATTATCACTCGGTAAAGATACAATTTTTTCCTCGTATATAGCCTCAACAATTGGTTGCTCTAGTGTCTCTTTCTCGTAAGACATATCTTGTACACCACATCCCACGTCACGAATTTGAAAACGAGCATCAATTCTATCCAAACATTCATTCATTTTCTTGATTTCCATCATAAATGCTTCAAACCAACTTTTATTTTCCATGTTTATGTGGATGAGAAAACACACAAAACCAGTCCAGAAATTGATCGAAAGTACGAGGACCAAAACCCAATAAAGACACCTCGAAAAATTCTGAAATTTTGTATACTGCTAGCCCTATCTGTCTAAAATACTCGACCAAAAATTCAGAAAAAAATTCCCATCGAAGAAATCGCAGTTTATTTTTTTCTCAACAATGGCAGATTAATTTGATTTTTGACCAGGTGTAAAGAACGAACCCAGTTGAATAGCTATGCTTCTCGAAAAGTTCTAAAATTTTGCAGGTGAAAACTAGACAAAAAATTAACCAATTTGAAAACAAGAATCACTTCAAAATCTTTAGAAACGAAGGAGAACCAAGTCGATCAATATGACATTCAAAACTGAGTTTTTTGACACAAATTGTCAAACTCGTCCCTCGTCAAACAGCAGCCACACCAATTTGATATGAATTTTGATGGATATAACCTTCAATCGCAGTTGAAAGGTTTGGAATCTTGAGTCTCGGTCAAGAAACGCTAAGCAACACGAGCTTAAAACCTAAACTAGGCCAAGAATACACAAGCACAAGCTTACGTAAAACTTTGTAAATTTCAAATCAATCAATCATACTTTTCGTTACACCATCACGTATTTATAAGCTAAATAATTAGCCTAAAAATTGGTAAAACAAATTCTAATCTAACTAGGAAACTAACTCTAACTTGTAAAGATAATATTTTGCAAATATGATCTTTAAAGTTAAGCTTATCTTATACTAACCGAATTAAACTAACAAAAATATCCTAATAAATTCGGTCATCTAATAATAAACTAAAAATAACAATAAAAATAATTATAATAACAATATTGATGCCTTGGAACCGCATCAGTTTGGTACGTTGGTGTTGTACCGGATTAGAAGATAAGTAAACAGCGGAGATAATATAATAGGTTTATATTATCTTGTGAATATTCAGTAAAATATATCTTGTGTAATTTAGGTTATCTCATACTTAGGTTGTAAATCCTATATATATTCAATTAATGAGAAAGCATGCACTAAGGAGAATTACACTATTCTACATGGTATCAGATTCCTACTAGGGTTTTCTCTCTCTCTTTTCTCACAAAACCCTACACGATCCTTGGCCGTGCTATAGCCGCTCACCTCCATCTCCACGCCACCTCCTTCAGCTAATATGGCAGGAGATGATGATACCCCTCCTCCTCCTCCTCCCTCCTACCATCCGACTTTTTCCGTTTCTAATATCAAAAACCTCATAAGTATTACCCTAGATCAAGAGGATGCTCAATATGCTACGTGGGCAGAGTTCTTTCAAATACAATGTTGTGCTTTCAACGTTCAAGATCATATTGATTCCAAGATTTCTCGACCGACGGGGACTGATGATGCGACATGGAAGAGACTTGATGCGATTGTGAAAAACTGGATATACTGCACAATTTCTAAGGACCTTGTTCAAACCATCGTGAAGCAAGGTGCCACGGCTCTTGAATTATGGAACCGTCTTGAGGAAGTTTTTCATGATAATAAGCACACTAGGGCTATTTACTTAGAGGAACAATTTTCCAACATCAAGCTCTGATACCATGTAGAATAGTGTAATTCTCCTTAGTGGAGGCTTTCTCATTAATTCAGTATATATAGGATTTACAACATAAGTATGAGATAACCTAAATTACACAAGATATATTTTACAGAATATTCACAAGATAATATAAACCTATTATCTAACATTTTATTTTCAGTTAAGCTCCAATTAATTCAGTTCAGTTTCTAATTTCCATCTCTCGTAAATGTTAAGTTCAATTCAGTTCAGCTCCAGCAGTTCAGTTCAGCTCACTTCAGTAAACCAGAACAAGTCGTTATTCTCTTTTAAGGCATAAATCATAGGCTTTGAGTAAAATAAAATTGTTAATACCCTTATTAACTTTGAACTTTGAAGTAGTACAGTGGGTTTAGAGTTCAATTCTCAATACCTCTAAGACTCTACGCTCATAATCAAAAGAATTGAAATGGTCATTTATAGAGCCTTGAACCAATAGGGTGACTTTTAGATTCCTTTATTTTCTCTACTTCTAATTTTCTTTTCGAAAATAATTGGGTGAGTCGGAATCACAGTGACTCCAATCTGTCAGTATTAGATTTCTCATGTAAGATATTAGATTACTAATGTCACATATTAGATTACTCATGTTAGATATTAGATTATTAATGTCAGATATTAGATTATTAACATCATATATATATATATATAGAACTCACGGTAAGTTTGGTTTCACGCAAAACGGTCTCTATTCTTTTTGTTGTTTTGTGAGTTTGTCTCATATTTCCTTCTTGCAAAATTTAATAGGACAAGTCACATAAACATCATTTTAAATTTCTTTTCCATAATCTTAAAAAAGAAGTGAATTATGAAAAGATAATGAAGATAAGGACTTTTGACGTTCCCTTTTAATTTTTTTTTTTAATTATATATATAAAAAAAATAAAAAATAAAAAACCTTCATTTTAATGTTTTTCACAAGCATCTAGCTTTAAATACAATTTAAAATTTAAATTTATTATCTTTCTTCATATATCTTACACATTAAATAGCTTGCTTTTTTCGGTTACACTCAAAATAAAAAAATTCACAAAATTCCATATAAAAATAATGTAGGGTGGCGTTGTATAAGATAACATAATAGAGTGTAGTGTAATATCTTATTAACAAATTGTATTTATCACGTATAGTATAGTTTTCACATATTCTTTTGTACAATCATAGAGTAGAAAAATAGGGATCACATATTTTTAGATTATGAAAATGATGAAATTATTAGAATCACATCAAAAAAAAAAAAAAAAAGAGGGAATCTATAAGAATTGGTATAACAGTAAATAGTGAAATTGGAGCTTTTGGACGGACTCGTGGCAAGTTTTGGACCGATCAAACAACGTTTTTATGACCAATTTGGCTCAAACCATTTGTTCTACATGAAGTTGGAATTATGGACTGTCGGCCAGCCCAATAGGCCCACTTTCCTGGCCCAGTACTGCAGTAAATAGGAATATCACTGTCAGAATGATTGAAGCCAAATGCATATTATGAGCAACGGATTTTAAAGGGAGGAACGAAAAAATGTATAATAAGGAGTATTTATGTAAATACTCATATATATAAATGAATGTATATTCTGGTATCATTTGATTATATTCTAGTATACTAGTATATAATATTATTGAACATACGATAATATTGTATATGCATATTAAGTTGTACTAAGTTTATGCATAAATAATTCCACTGAAAATTCAATGTTACTATATAAGCTTTTAAATCAGCATGTGGTCCCCCATCCATCACGTGAGACAATCTGACCAAAGAATAGGTGAGTTTCTATTGGGATATTATATAGTTTGATAGAATAGAATATTAGCATATATTATCTTGTGTAATTTAGTTAATTTCCGAAGATCCTAAGATATCCTTTGATACTAGGACTAGGATTTGTAACTTCTATATATTCGTGATTGTGGTTCTAATCCTTTAGTTCCACCTACTCTCTTCCTATCCTCTCCTCTTTTCTCTCTCTAGTCTCTACCTTGTATTTTAAACTATTTTAATTATTGTTGTGTATTTACACGTAACATTCGTGCATTACTACTTTCCCAAATAAGTATATTTGGAGGGGTGTAAGACAAGATAAAATATCACATAATATAAAATAATATAACAAAATGTACTAGGAAGAAGGAGAAAGGAAGAAAGAGTGAAAAAATGGTGGGGTGGGTCCACCTTTTCTTCATAAATGGTTTTCCACATGCAAAAAAGACAAAAAAAAATTGGGACCACAATTACTGAGAGTATATTTTATACAACTGAGAATTTTTGTAAGTACCACTACAATTGTATTGTGTATCAGGGAAAGTGTATTTTATACCAGTAACACTCCAATGGTATTAATTAACAACCTAATGAGACATTTGAATTTTTTTTGAAATACCACTGAAATTATATATTATACCGCTGAAAGTATATTTTATACTACTGAATCTACAAATAGCAAAATCTAAATCCCATATAAAATGACCAATTTGTTCTTGCGAAATACTTCTAAACATCTCTCAACCTTCTCTGACTCTCTGTTTAGAACACCTCCTACTTATCCAACTATGGGCCGGGCTTTGAGCCTTTTATCCAATAAATACATGCCATGTGTCAAATTATGTTTGTTGGCCCATTACCACGTGTTTAATGCTATGTGTCTGCCACGTGTTTGTGTTTAAATGGTAATTTCACCCAAAAAGTAGCGGTTCATCAATCTTATTCACAAGATAAGAACAAGTCCTTGAGATGAAGTTTATTTGATTTTTAAAGTATTGATTGATGATTTTGTTGACGTTTAAAAATCAGAATTGTCCGGTTTTTGTCCTCGACATTTAACAAAAATGAATATGAACTTTTTCTATTTTTTCAATAACATTTTTAGTGGATGTTAGGTAGGTGCGTTTTTATTAGTAAATGTACATGTACTTTGCTTTAATTTTTCAATACTTGAGTAATTGAGTATAAATTCAACTTGACGTTCTCATAAAATATTTATTGCTTATAGCAATCATTATATTTTACTTTTTCATCTCTTTCAATTGTAATATTATTTATTTACTTATTTTAAAATACATGAAGAAATTTGGTTAGACATTATTTTTATGTATCACGAGATTAGTATTCATACAACGTATCAGAAACAAATAAATTTACACCAAATTAATTCATGCCGATCATACTGAAACAATCAAATTTAAAATAAACTAAATGGCACCAAACTATTAGGGTCGTTCTCTCAAAAGCTAGGATGACAAATATGGATTCACTTGAATAATGAGACTCCTGCCATTACTTAAAAAAAATATATATATAAAAAATAATAAAAAAATGATATTAGTACTTTATTATATTCTTTTTTCTAAAGATTATAGAAAAAACAAAAATAAATAAAGTATCAATTAATAAGGCCTTGCGGTCCATGTGAATATGTGACGAACCGAACAATCTGCGCTTGTGGCCTGTGTCAAGATGATGCTGAATGGTCCAGTTTGGAAATGACATGAACTTTGCTTGTTTACAATAATGAAAAATTTGGAGGCCCAGATAATTAGGCCTGCTGTTTAGGGTGTATCATGAGCCCACCATAGTACCAAGGCAACAGATTTTAGAGGCCCAGATAATTAGGTCTGCTTTTTTCACACTCAACTACATAAAACTACCTTGTCTACCTATACTTCAGTACACTACGGTGTAGTCCGTAGCGTAGACATGCACTACAGTAAAAACATATTCGTATTCGGTCGTTCTTTATTTATTGGTTGACACGTTTTCACTTTGTCATTATTCATATAATAGTATATTCTATTATTTGATATACTATTGTGATTTATATATGTATGGAAAATTATACTTTTGAGTGATGTAAATAGATTTGTCCCCATTAATAACTTCATAACATTAGGTTTTGAATTTGCATGAGAATGAGGTATTTGATTGTAAGGAGTAGAGAAGGAAAAAAATTTGTGGATAACTATACGAAATAATCTTTTTTGGTTCACGTAGTCAACCCCACTTATGGGATTAACACTTTGATTGATTGATTGATAACATCTAGTTTTATTATTTACACTTTTACATGCTTTAAGAAAATATTTCTTTCGTTTTTTAATACTTGCAACACACACTTTTTCACGGTATTTAAGAAAAGTGGGGTTTACATAAATTAGTACACTATAAAATGAGGTGAGAAGTTGTTAAGAGTTAATTAAGTTTAATAAGGGGGAAAAGTACAATTTTTCTTGAACATAACTTTCTAATTATAGTGTACTGCATGTATTGTGACATTTGTATTTTAAAAAAGTGTTACAATTATTTTAAAACGGAAGAAGTAGTAATTAACAATTGCATTGACAAAGGATCTAAAAAATTGATAAATTACGAAGTATTTAATACAATCAATATAATAAAATTATCTTCTTACAGAAATATACAAACTCGTTAACCACGTACACAAAATCGGTCATTGTTTTAGGATGTGATTGATGAAGATTTAAGTGGAAATGTCACACCATAATCATATTGTATTCCAAAGATAAGAGCTCATGATGATAGGTTAACTTACCCTTTTGAATTAGCAGCCATTTGTATATGTTATATGACTCTTCTTTATAGCTTTTACTTAACTACCAATAACGTCCAAAACAGAAAAAGATTGAAGACTCTCTTGGGTCAATTAATGAATAATGATAATGATAAATCATAATTAGAATGCCATATATTATTAACAAATTAACCACTAACCAGCTCTCCAAATGGTCCCATGGTTTGCTTTGCATGTAGCATTTCCTCATAATAATACAAAAAACATATGTCGTCATTAAATCCGTTTCTAAAAGTTCTTACAGTAAGACTTTATCATTTTATACTGATATTCCGAATATATGTAATAAGACAAAATAAAAAATATCCTATGAAAAAACTTAAATACTACCTCCTGTTCAATTTACTCGCAATAAAGAGGTATTGTTTATGAGACATAAAATATTTCTTTG